AAACCAAGGTAGTGTGTTATTTCGCTGTCCCCGTGAGTTTGGATGGTGACACGGTGCTGACCTTAAGGTGCTCTTTGGCAAGCTTGATATCGCGGAGCAAAGTATCATCGGTGCCGAGGTTGCAAAGTTGTTTGCAGCATTTCAAATAGATACTGGCTTGTATGCTGACCAACCGATCTACCAAGTGCACTTGGGCCCAAGCTCAGGTAGCCGTCACCTGAGATTTCGCAACCCTTATGGTGTTCAAAACATAACCGCTTTGTCGGCCAAATGCACTCTGATGTTGTGCAGGGCATCATTGGCCTGGCCTTCCTGTAGAATGAGTTCTTGTTTCACCAAATCATCGACACCGATGGCAGTACATGTATCCTCGCCCAAATTGGACAGCAGGGGAATGACTGCCTTCTCTGGCTTGAAGGACCTTGGCTGCTCCTCCGTTCCGGGATCTAATTCTTCTCGAGCATGATAAGATCTAGTTGCATGCCATCATCCTCATGATTGGTGAGCTCATCGCCGATGAACATCATCCAGCTCCCCTCCATCGATCAATATCCCTTTGTAACATTCTTGCCGGCAGGCAATCGCAACCGCTGTGTGTCTGTGGCTGACCTCGGAGTCTTCTAATATCCATTTGCAGTGTTACTTGGGCCTCAATTGTCAAACCCTCTGCAAGCCATGTCACTGCACCTCGCCGCTGGATAGGCTGTGCACACTGTCCTTGTTCCGCCAATAATGTATTTCCTGCTGCTTCTTGTCGGCGCTGTAATTAAATGAGAGAGGATCTGCTGTTCTGACATTTACACTTACCTTTCTGGATTTGAACCTCATAAATGTCCATAGCTGTTGGATCACGGCGACGCCGTTGATGTGCCAACCTCTCTTGTGCTTCCCATTCCCGGACTTTCACAGGATCGGCAGTCTCATCTAGCTTTTCGAACGCACAATTTGCTATCGGTGATTCCTCTGACAGCCTTATTGTACTTTTGCAAAGCAACTTGCCTGCATGATGTATTATGAGTTGTTTGAATTGATTGCACAGAGGGCTGACTCATCCTGATCATCTTCATGAAGTTACAATCATTCATTTGATAGTCCAAGCATCCTTTCGGTGCAGAGTTCCCATTCCACGGGCCGCCGGCGAGATAATATTTAATGGCGCCCATAGTGTTTCCATGATTGTGCTATCAATCCGAGCGGCGCCCTCGATAAAATTTGATGCATATCTTACATAGCAACTGTCTTGATGGCCATGCACGTGCCACAGTCCGATTCCGGGGATAATATCCAGTTCCTCGGGTATCTCCAAGATAGGACTCTCGGCGATGTGGTCCTTCAGACGCTTGTGGTTACTGACAGTTCACATCATAAAAGGTCAACGCTTGGCGTATTCCATCGGCGTTCATTTTCAATGCCTCGCCAACGCATGATCCATGTTCATCGGTCTGGTTGAACTCAGTAAGGCGATACATTTGCTCAGGTTTGGTCCCACACCTTTCTCCCTTCTGAAAATCGACCATGGCGTGAGGAACAAAACACCCATGCCTTGCACAGGCGCAACCGCTGATGCCGGTTGCCTCCAACCTGTGACGAGATGCATTTGCCTGATTGACCGCGTGGTGGTTTGTTGCATTCTGATCGTTGAATGGTTGTCTTGGGCAATGGCCAAATGCTCCTTACACATTGCATCTCCTAACCATGAACCCACAGCCGTCATGAGAGAAACTTTGTCACCGGGATTTAATGGATGGAGATGCTCGGCTTTGAAGTTTTCGTCCATGACGAGCAATCTTGTGTATAGCCAACTCAGTGTTTGTAAATCTGATCCTTTCTCATTGAAAGTCTCGGTATGTTTCTCCGACAGGCAAAGTCACATTAAATCCCATGGCTGGGGGACACGCCAGACAAAAGAGAGCTAAATCTCCGGGTCTGACGTCCTTTTCCTCATGGCCGAAGCCATTCCATTTGAGAAGCTTGAGTTCCTCCATTGTCTGGCCACCCTCATGAGTTTCCTGGTACGGTCCTTTATTCCAATAAATAATCTGCCCGGCGAGGGATGAACGCACTCACCGGGACCCAAATGCGGAAAGACAATCATTGTCATCCATCTCAACTTGCTGTAGTAATTCATCGCCAAGGTTCTGCACTCCAGGTTGTCCAACAAAAAGTCATTTAAGACGTCAAATGTGAATGCCGTCTTCGGTTCCAAGAAGGACGCCGGAAATAAGCCCATTTCAAACATTTGTATATCGGCGGCGGCGGCGTTGGGGCATGTGCAATACCTAACCATGTGGGTATGCACGCCGGACTTGTTAACCATTGTGGTCATTGCACTGTTGCCCTTGATAAATGGCACGCCGGCTGGGAGGTCATCGGCGCTCTTCGAACATGGGGCGCCGCTGTCTTCTTCTGATGAACTCTCCATGTCTGTTGTGTTGGCTCCCTCTTCCCCGGTAGTAAACACACTAGAACCCCCTACATCATCTTCCCATGGACATGGCTTTCCGTCATGGCCAAGCCATATCACGATCCCACACTTGAACAAACAACTTTCCTCGAAGAAGGAGCCTGTCCATTGGCTGACCCGATGAAAGGGAAGTCTCTGATGCTGGGTTCTGCAACAACTTGTACAATAGAGAGGCTCACCAAAGCACCCATGACATTTATAGACACCATCTGTCCCACAGATGATACATGACCGATCCGATGGAACCTCCCTCTGTAGGAGTATGTCAAGATATGCTTTTGTCTTTGGGACCCATTGTCTTATATAGTCGTTTTGACTCTTGAGTTCAGATAAGCAGATTATGACAGGTAAGTGTGAGGGAAGGCTAACCAAGAATTTTGGCAGTCGTAGGGGAATGACCCTGTGATCATCAAGGTCCCCAAGAAAGTCATGTCCACCATGGTGAAGCATGTCATGAGACGGCTGCTTAGAAGCAGACTTGGTAGGGGTTGCTGGAACTGATCGACTGATTTTGCCCACCACCTTCCTGGTCCGATATTATTTCTGCCATTCTACCACTGCATACTTTCGTTTGGGTGTCCACTCTTGGAGTTTGGAACCTTTCATTTGTTCACTGCAATGAGAATCTGCAAGAAAGGTAAGAGGTTTCAATTGGCCGATGGAATGTGATACTTGGATTAATTTGATCATGCTCAGATCATATCTGGTATGAGTACATAATACTAAGACCTAGAATGTAATATAAGATGATCCAAAGAGAACACAGCAACCATATCCATCAAAAGTACATAATATCAACAGTGATACAAGGAACACCACTTCATCTCGACTGAACACAACAATGATATATATGAAAAGTACCCAATATGAGCTGTAATATATGATGAACCAAGCAGAACAAAGAAACACTGTGGGATCTTGGCCGAGGAACCAAACCTTACTGCCCCATATCAACCAACTATAGTATTTGCGAATCTTGAACCATTCAGAATCACCATTATCCATAACCCAACATGCCAAGAACTCAATCTCCTATTGTGCTCTCACAGCAGAAGAAGGTTCACTTAGACAAGGCGGAGGTCTTGGTCCTCAGGGACCACCTAGAGGACTGGAGGTCAGTGAAAGGTAAAGAAAGATCAAGGGTGCTCATCGCCATCTACAAGGAAGCCTCACTCCAAGCTCCTACCAAGGACCGAGCCATATTGAAAGCTCGGAAAAAGGTTCGTGACACCTTAAATATATCGGAGCCATCGGAGCATTGATACAATGTACATTCAAGATTTACAAGCAATGGTTGCAAAACCAATCTCGGCGGAAAAAAGATCCCAAGCCACTCATCAAGTATGGCAGACGTTGGACAGCAAGGAAAGTCCTAATCCAGACTCATAAACACCTAATCCGAGAAGAGACAGGGGAAATGGCTGGAAGTGAGGAGATGATCAGCAAGTGGCCAAGGGCGGCGAAGTCAGTAATTGATGGTTTGTCGGCGGAGGAGAGGGAACAGGCGGCAGCTACGGCGGAGAAATGGAACCATCAAGCGGCGCCGCCGGAAGTGCAAGCCGAGGTCGCCGAGAGCAAGGGCGCTGAGATGATCGAGCATTTGACCACCGAAATGTTCAAGCAAGCTGGAATGAGGGTCTGTGTGTTGTCTGCATGGAACAACAGCAAAGGGAAGCTGATGTTAGGAGGGTGTGTGGTCTACTACTTACCTGGCTGTCAACATTAACTGTGGGGAAGTCATGACTTCAATGAACAGTTTGGGAACGGCGAGAGCTTCATCAAGACCAGAGATTGGGACGGCATGTTTATGTTGGAATGGGGGGAATATGCAGGGGAGCAATTCGGTGAGATACAGGTGATTCATTTCACAACAAATATATTGATCACGGTGTAGATGCGGAGGATGCGGAGGAGCCACGAATGGTAAAGTCAAAGAAGCGGCAGCCCCAGAAGCTGATCGAACTTGAAGAGGATGCCGATGGCTGGCTGATGCTCCCTGATACAATGGGATGGAATTGTGCCAAGCAACAACACATGATTCGATCATTCCTCACGAAACTATACAGTACGTGCACTTACATGTTACATTAAAAATTATTCTCACAAAGCATAGGGATGTGTGGTGGGGAAGACACCTCCAAATCAGCGGTGCCATGGGGCAATGTAAGCCAGGACCCATTGGCGTACTTTGACGGCACAAAATGGCCCGCCGGCATGCAATTCAAGGAACCCTCCAAGATGGATATATCAGATACAAGTGCTTTGCTGCAATTCTGGTTTGCCTGGCAAGAACAAAATATTCAACCAGCCTTTTCATTCATGGTGTGGCAAGATTCTGATAGTGACATATGTGAGGCAGTTGTTTCTCCAGCACCCCGGCAGGCCGCCATGAATAGAAACCGCACTCAACGGACACAGCCAAAGGGAAAGTACACAGGCAATCCCTTACCATCGCACCGGGCCATCAAAGAAAGCAGTTCGGAGGATGAGTTATATGGCAATGATGGTCACTCCTCTAGTGAAGGTGATGAACCACTTTTCACTGCCCAGAAAAAGGATGTGACGCCACCGCGACAGGCCACACTCCCGACTAACAAGCCTCGCAAGCTCAAGTCTGACGCTGCTCCGCCACGGCGAAGTGCATGGCAGACACTGGCTGCCATCGGCGATGTGCCAAAACCAGCTATTGCCACGTTCAGCAACACCAAGGAGCCGGCCATACCTCAGAGGAAGGCCGCAAAGCAGCCATCTAGATCATCTGGTGCTGTCACGAGAAGAAAGGAGGTCACATATGTGGCCAATGATCAGCCCCGGGGATCAAAATGCTGCGCTCCTGAGGCCGTTAGAGATACGCCGGTGAAGAGAACCAGGAGCAAGACATGTGCACCAGAGGCATCTTTGGGTAGACGCAGCAAGAAGTGATCCTCATATCTCAAATCAGTACAATACCAGCAATGAAATCAATTGATGACTGGTGCAACACTGGTCCCATACATATACAACACTTTGAGTGGCAAACCTATGTACAAGTGAAGGTGATATATATAATTTGTAACTAGTCACCACCGCCAGACTTTCTCTCTGCTTTCTGCACCTGTTGTGACAAAGAGTGCACCAATGGAACAACTCTGGCCTGCACTGCCGCCATGTGATGCAGCTGGATCAAATCTTTGAATATCCGAGTCAACTTATCTCTGCTCTCACAAAACACCGATAATATGACCTGGTTGCTGTCGAGGACCTCGTCAGGTTGAGGATGCCGGACATCATCGCTAGGGTTGACGATGCTGCCCAGCATCAACTGCGCAAGTTTATCGACTGTTATAAATCAGTTGGGTTCTAAAGGGAGCATGAAGCGGTGCTTACATTCATCGCCTTGGAGGCATTCAACAATATTCCTCGCCGTCCTCTCAGCATCGCCGATCACGCCCTGATGGGAAGGCCGATGGTCAGATGTATCGGAGGAACCGCTCGGCGTGCTTCTCTGCGGGAATGCGAATTCCACATTTGGAAGTGCCTTCGGTGTATATGCCACGGCTGGAGTGGGTGGCGCAGATGCTGCGATGGCCGCCTTCACTGGGACAGCTGGGTTAACCGCCGTCACCGGGACGGCCGCTCTCACTGGGATTGGTTGCCAATCTCCTCCTTTTGCTGGAGGAACTTGACAATTGAACTGGAATGCTATAAATGTAGGTCAATCTTGGCTGACCGAGGATTTTTTCAAGAAGGGACATACACCTATTAGAAATATCATATCCAACATGAACTGGCGGAGCCGGCATAGATGTCGGCGACAGATTCCAGCCAAAGTCAAATGCTGGCTTCGGGGTTGGTAGCAAAGGCATTTTTTCAGTCGGGATGGTGGTTGGTGTGACTGACCATTGTGGTGTGACATCCAAATCCATTCCAAAGTTGAATGGTTTGCCAGTCGGTGTGACAACCGGATCATCTCTGGCAACAGAGGTGTTCCATCTGAAGTCCAAGAATGATGGAGTGGCTGGTTGAGGGGTTGGTGACCGCCTCTGTGCCAGCGGAAACCCGAAGTCAAATACCGGTTGAAAGACTGGCGGTGTTGGTTGCCGATGTTCGAACCTGAAGTTCAGCCTGTAAGGCAGTGCAGGAGGGACAGCCAACGTATCAGCATTTGGAGCCACTGGAGGAGGCGTGGGCGACATGTCGGTGTTGGAATTAAACCCAAAGTTAAACACGGTGTAGAGACTCATGCCTCTCATGTGCAATATGGCAGTTTTCACTGGGGAGTACATGGCACGAACTTGTAGCATCACTCTGTGTGCTACCTGCAGCTATCTCTATATGAGGCGCAGCTTTCCCATGCAATGCGCGCGTACCTTTCCCGCGCTTCATGATGTATATGCGCGCGCACTTCCCGCGCTGTAGCGCCCTATAGCGCCAGCCATCCAGAAGCATCCATCCACTGTCCACCAAGTTCCCTAGTGCGTATATTTCCATTTCTCACATTTGCTTATCGTTCCATCTTTATTTTTATCATGGACCCTTACTTACATATATCTTGACATACCTTACTCGGTAGCGCTTCGGCTCCGCATGACAGCGCTTAGGCGCCATACTTAAGCGCCAGCAGTACATACTTACTGAGAGACTTACTCTCCCACCAGAACGACAGAGGACTTACTGGTTACTACCCACTATTTACCTAGCAGAACATAGTAGAAATCTATTTGTTTACACCTCGCATCTCCCTTCTCTTGTCTTACATCATATCATCACTTAAGCAAACTCACTCTTACTCTCTCTCGTATCTGTATACACGCGCACGCTTTCCCACGCTTCGCACCATACACGCGCGCATTCCCGCGCCTTGCGCGCACCTGCGCTTTCTCGCGCTTCGCATTGGCCAACCAGTAGCGCTTTCAGCGCATACCTCTAGATCCTTGCTGCACTCGCTTCCCCTTTAGGGTCGAACGCACTTGTCGTCTCAAGTATAGCAGACTAGGCAACGCACGACCTTACAACAATTATAGATACAGTCAGGAGCATTGTTCGTGCCTCGCTGTACCGTTGAACCTTCAACGGGTTGGAGCACAGGCAGTGCTGCAGGTGGAGCTGCAAACCCGAAGTCCAGCTGGTACATCGGAGCAGACAGTGTGGCTGCCATGCCACCATATGAAGTCACCGGCAGAGCTTCAAACCCAAAATCCATCACTGACAGGAAATCATTACATACACTTTCATAACGAAGAAGTATAACACTTACTAGTCGGGTTTTCGCCGGCGTTGGATGATGGTGCTTGAGACTCTGACTCGTTGTCCATCAGTATATCGAAATGGACACGGCAGTCATTTGAGTGCGTCATTGTAATCAATGGTACAAATCAGTGTGAGATGGAAGTGAGATGGTGACCTCTGGAAGCTTAAATATCATCAATGTGTGGTGTGGCCCATGGCTGAGTTTGAATATGTGCCACAAAACAATGCATGTTTGCCGTGAGAAACCATGCAAGCGCCACATACAATTGCTTCTAAAGCCTCATGGCACCGGGTCCCAAGCCGATCTATTTGGACTTCAAATTTTAATTGTTTCCATTACACATATATTGTCAAAATTGATGTTGTGGTCCTTTGCCTTTTTTCCGCCCACATATCATGCCATCCACAGAGGTTTCAAACAAAGCTCTTAATGATGCTGCCGCTCGAGTGCAACAAATCGTGGCTCAAGCTGTAGAGTGGAAAAATGGTCCCACCGGCCATCTCACTATGGCCATGGACATCGCAAAATTTTTGGTGAGCTTGCCAATATGAACAAAGGAAAAAATTTGCATTGAATCCTGATCAGTCGCCGGTGTTCGAACAACATGGGCGATCAGTGAGCATGATTCCGCCACTTTTGTTATCGGCAGCGATGGAATTGCAAGGTCATTTGGACCCTGTGACTCGCCAATCATTTCTAAGTGCACCTGTATGGCGTAACATTGTAGCGAATGATTCACGAATTCGGAAACATCCTTTGTATCAGAAGGCTCTCACATTCATCAGCTCCTCAAACCCATCTGCGATATCGCACTCGCCGGTGCAACTGGCCCAGCAGGTCATTGCAGATGCACCAGCGGAATCCCCGGTGGGGTCCAAACCCAAACCTAGGCCACAGTGATTGCACAGGAAGGCATTGACAGTTGTTGAGAGTTCTGACAGTGATGCGATTGAAATTATTGACCATGTCGCCGCCACTAATGTCATTGGGCCAGACATTCACAAAGGGAAGGGTAAGGAGACCGCGCCACCCGAGAATGTTGACGGCGACACGCCAGTGAAGGTTTTGAAAGCAGAAACCACCATGGTTAGACAAAAGCCCATGCCGAAGAGAAAGCAAACGCAGGCAACTGGCGGCCGTGACTCCAAGTCTGGTGTGATGGATCGAAAGGGAAGGGGACAGAGGTCCCACCTCCAGTGGATAGTGTGGACGGCGATGGTAGTGCACTGTTGCAGAGGAAAAGATCTAGAGACTCCAGTCAGAATGAGCAGCTGACGAAGAGCATGTCATCAGCCACCCGCCCGCCGCTGTCCACCCACACCGGCGATCAATGCAAGCCCTGGTTTGAAGAACCTCTTCCTCTGCTGGTAGGGACCATTTAAGTTTCTACTGATGTCTCCCTTATGAGCTTTATGTAGGCCACTGTTGCCGGGAGACTCACCATGAGCAAGCGGCATAAAAGTAGCCACCGGCATACTACATCAAAAGAATACGATGAAGACCCCTTGCCGGAAGCGGCCGGCGATGTTGCCAAAGAGTCGGCTGTTGGGACGGTAGGTATTCAAGTCCTAGATGTTTACCTTACTTCTCAAAAGATGCAGAACACCATCAATATCAATGTGGCGACCATAGACAATGCCACCCAGAAGAGGCTGTCTTTACCACCTGTGACCTCTGTCTCTGCATATTCGCCATCATCGCTTGAATCATCCCCGACATTGAGCCACCCTGAAAAACCACCACCACGGCACGTGCAACCACCGCCATCACACACACAGCTTATGGATATTGATGTGCCGGCCGATACAGTGGTGAAGGACTTGCAGGCAATGACACTAGATGCCACAAAGGACTCGGTACTAGTCTTGAAGAGTCATGAAGATATGTACAATACCATCCACAACCTTCACAATCAGGTCGTCGAACTCCGCACTCGGAATGCTGCTGCCGCCGATTCCCTTGAGGCGTTGAATGTCCGTGTGGCTGCTCAGGATGCCGAGATGCGCAGTATGGAGACACTTCACACCGACGTCGCTGTGCTGCAAGACCAAATTCACACTTTGCAAGCGAAATCCCGGACACATGAGAACCAACTCCGTGCAGCTGATGTTAAATTGGCATCACAGGGAAGTACCACCGCCGTCCTGCAAGACGCCTATGAGGCCCTTTGACAATGTTTGATCCCCACTCCATCCATACCTCCCCATTACAATAACACCATGTTCTTTCCTGCTTCCCACCAGCACCAGGTTCCCTATAATCAGAGCCTCAGTGTAGGCCAAGCGCAGGCCATGGAAAGATTGTACTTCAACTTCACCCCAGGAACATCCACGGCCGCCGGCCCATCAGTCTCTGCACTCTCGGCGAGTGCTAGCATTCCGGGTGCCATCCTTGCACCCCCAGGGCCATCCACAGTTGCCGGCCCATCTGGGATGCATGCTCCCTCAGGCCCCTCCGGTAGTCGCGTCACAGGGAGTTCTCAAAGCACAGGCAACCTCAGTGAATCGGCCTCTGCATTTCACCACAATTAGATAGCTTCTCGTCCGTAAAGTGTCTCTATTTGTAATGCCTTTGAGTTGTTGGCGCCATCATGTTTCATCAATGCAGTGCTGAATTTAACGCTGTCATTCTTACCCACATATCTCCGGTGTCTGCCGGCAACCACATGTCATTACGTTTGGGACATGCTTCGCACCGGCAAGGCTCGGGCATGTGTCCTTCATTACCGGTTGCCCTACATGTCTTTCTTACGTCCCATTATGAATGTTCTGATAAGCCCTCAACATAAAAAGTCAGCAAATATTCAGTTTCCGTCCCTCAACCAATGAATCCCATTCCTGCTGATTGGGCATTGGCCACGACTCATCTTGCCAGCAAGTATGTCTCTCGACAGTTCTGTTCTATTGTTGGAGTGATGCCCAAAGTCCTCCCTCCACCTGAGCTTGATGTAGTTTTGCTTATGGCTTGCTCAAATCTTGCGCGGCGCCTCGCCGATGCATATCTTAATCCAGGTTTGACCTCGCCACCCATCTGCCGATAGTTCTGACTCGGGTCGGCATTAGTGACAATTAACTTTGATATGGTCCGGTATTCAGACGCGTTGCATATACAAGAAACAGGCATCAATCCCCGGCATGAACAATCCCTCCTGGAGCAATTTCCGCCGGTTGGTCAACTTATGCTTGAGCAGCCTACTGTTGTCCTGGACAAATTTGGCCTTATTGTTCTATGGTATCTCCCTGGAGCAATTAATGAAACCATACAGGAGGTGCTCGCCGCCCGCCGATGATGTTTATTGACTTTTGTAGAATGATATGATGGCGGCGACCAAGATGATGTCCAATCATCTGTGTAAGAGTATCAGCCGAACTGCTGCCAAGAAGGAGAAATGGCGCACCCACGAGAGCAATTTTCGAACCAGTGAACACGGCCTCACTCTGGGTTGTATTAATCTATCTCCAGGATGGTTTCTGCAAGGTCATCCGGTACGTCGGTATTTTACACCTGGAAGTACTCGCTGATGTCACTAGGCTCCAAAGTTTCATCCTGAAATATCGGCGACCCTTAAACAGGATGGGTCAACTATATGTCAGGCGATCCGGTGGCCGGCGGTCTTGGCTGCCACTGCATTGAGAGTCATGCATGGCAGCTTATACTGGTCGTCTTTGACAACTCAGCTCGGCCTCGGTCTATGGGCAGACAATAATCAATTCAAGGACATGGGAACTTGCCTCAGACAATGGGTGTCTTCATTTACAGTTCTCGCCGTTATGTGCAATCATTGTTCACCCCTGCACAGAGACTCTCAATCCCTCGCTCAATGGTTTGATATCATAACCAGTATCGGCGATTATGGACCGGTGCAAATGAAATTGCCCAATATTGGCATTGAAATTACCTACAATTCAGGTGTGATGGTAGGTACTTCAGGCAGAATTGTTAGGCATGGTGTCAACAGGGTGAACGGCGATAGAGTTAGCTGGGTGTGGTACATGAGGGATGATGTTCATAAATTTGTTAATGTACCCCGAGGTGACTATTCCAAGTACAAGTCAATAATCGCCGATGCATTCTGTTGCAGTTAGGGGCATAGCTGATATGGTACATAGGGATGACATTCATGAATTTAGAGCACTTTTTGTTGCTAGTGAACACCTGTCATGTGTCCGATAGATTGGCTCATGGTGCCATGGCACTGCGTGCCATGATTTGTTAAGCTTTGGGCCTACCCGCTCGCTAACATACCGGGCCTGGGCCCACCACTGTACAGGACGCTGGCCCTAGGCCTGCAGTTGCTTCCACATACATGGGGTGAGCCCATGCTACACATCAATGGAATCCAGGCCCATCCAACAATCCAGTTGTACATGGGCTGGGCCGGGTTGCATCAACCTCGGTGGTGTCGTGGGCCTAACCAGTTAGTATGTGTACAACCTGTGGGCTCATCCTGGCGATTTAAGATAGGGCCCGCCCAAAAGCCAACATTCGTGGCCTAAGTCCACCTGTATTGCAATAGCTCCCTGCCTGGCCCAACCCTCCATCCCGCATTCCATGAATGGGCCCATTCCAGCACATGGCGCCATTGAATGAACAACTGCCGTGTGAGGCCTCTGATGCCCAGTGTGAATGTGATGCAATCGCCGCTTACAGTAATCCTCTTCCATCGCCGCCCATTAATCCGAGATGGCATCCACCCATGGCATATCACAATCGCAAAGCGCCGACCTACCAGCGACATCTGCACATGCGTTGGCCGGCTGCGACAGACAATCATGTCAGCTGGCGGCCATTCGCTTTTTAATTCTCCGGCGTGTTTCACTGCCCGTAATATCACCGGCAGTAGTATTCCAGTGACACCCAAAACCTGTGGGCCCACTCGAGACTGTTGAGCAAAACCTTTTCTGCTATACCTTGGGCCCACCTGTAAGCACAATGTATTTTAACCCAGAGACCCATGGGCCCACCCCAACCTGGCGACGAATATGACCCATGGGCCCCATCCTAGCCATTGGGTACACAACAACAAAGGGCCCACTCCATGACACTGACTTACAATCATCATGTGGGCCCATGGTGGGTTGGCCCAGGTCACTTGGCAGAAATGTCAAGGTGGGCTAGACAGTAAGTAAGGAGATATGTCACTGTATTATGTGATGAAAAGACAATTCTGAGACAGGTAACCTTTGCAGTTCCACATGAAAGGTTGGTCTTTAATGGTCGTGAATGCACAGATATGAGAACCGTCAACAGCGCCAAGGCACTGATCAAAAAATCAGACATGAGGGTCATTTAGTATTGTGGGTGAGATGAGAGTATCGTGTTTGGGGAACCGGACCTGTGAGGAGTAGAACGGAGATGTAGAAAGGAATACTAGTATGCACTTGAAGTATCTAGTAGGATTATAAACAGATGAATTATGATATAATTGATGATCCACTTACTGCGAGACTGTATTGGACAATCATTGGAACCTCTCTCCAATATGGCGAGTCGAGAGTCCAGTGACACACATATACAGGAAGATTGCGAGCTGTTCCTCCACAGAAACTCCATTGCAGGACCTCACAAACCCATTTGCTTGTAGGACCTCCAACAGATCATTGAAGACATTGATATTGATGCTGAGGTTATGTTTGATGTGGTCAGGGTGACCAAGCATGAGTTCCAACACCCACGCTTCGCCCGTTAATGTGGATGTATGATAAGGGATGCATGAATGGTGGGTTAGAAACTGCGCCTGACAATCTATAAGGGCTTGGGTGACAACACCAGCTAGGATAAACATCAATCATATTACACATTCTCGCTGTACTGTCCCAAGTGGTCCAGTATGGTCGAGGGCAGCTGACATGTTGGTGGTGGTGGTAGTTAGATCATTGATCATTATCAAAGACTCTGCCATCGAGTGGCATCTGGGATTCTCCTGGTAAGATCACATGACCACAAGTTTGAATTTTAAATGTGAAATTCATTGTCCAGATGGACCCTAACATTCGGCTAGAGTTCAACAAACCCGGGTAAGGCTAAAAGGAACACAGCTAAGTAATATTCGGCGCACATCAGCACAACGTCGGATTTTCAAATGACACTTAGGATTTTCAAAACATACGAGATACAATGCAGGGAAAGTCATAGATTTAGTAGGTAGAACATACAAATGTGCCGTGTAATAAGTAGCTATTCAATAAAATTACGCTAAACTCCTGCGTGAGTGCCAGGAGGGAGGGAGAACACTGGAGGGAGGGAGAAGAATGCCGGAGGGAGGGAGAAGAACACTGGAGGGAGGGAGAAGAATGCCGGAGGGAGGGAGAAGAACACTGGAGGGAGGGAGAAGAACGTTGGAGGGAGGGATAGAATCCTGGAAGGAGGGAGAAGAATGCTGGAGGGAGGGAGAAGAATGTTGGAGGGAGGGAGAAGAACATTGGAGGGAGGGAGAGAACACTAGAGGGAGGGAGAGAACACTAGAGGGAGGGAGAGAATGCCAGAGGGAGGGAGAGAATGCCAGAGGGAGGGGAAAAACGCCAGAGGGAGGGAGAAGAACCTTGGAGGGATGGAGAAAATGCCAGAGGGAGGGAGAAGAACATTGGAGGGAGGGAGAAAACACTGGAGGGAGGGAGAAGAACATTGGAGGGAGGGAGAGAACACCGGAGGGAGGAGAAATAAAGAGGTGGCGGGAGGTCGAGACTGGCCTGGCACGTTTGGCACAGCACGAAGGAATGTAGGGGAACGTGGGGTGCCAGAAGACTGCTGCGGTGGGTGCATGTTATTGGGCATGAATTGCGGATATGAATGTGTGCCGAGCTGCGAGGGTTGTTATGGCTGTGGCTGTTGTGAGGAGGATGACGATGGCTGGTGGTGTGAAGGTAAATTTGTCTCGAGTGAGAAGGAACGGTGGAGGAGGGGAGTGAGGAAGAAACAGAAAACCAGTACTTACCTTGTGTGATCTCTGATGGGCCCGAGGCCTTGAAACCTGGGGGGCTGAGTGCTGAGCGCTGAGGCCTAGACCTGAGCGCTGAGGTGCAGGATGACGTCGACAACACCAACTTACTCCATTGGAGTATTCCGGAAATTCAAACTCCGCCGTAAACTGGGTCACATATGCAACAAGTAGACAGGAGGTTTGATCCCCTGACCCCTACTATGCCTCGTCAATCCACACATGCACAAATGCTGCATGATATTGACCAAACTGCACTTGCATTAGCCAGGTTGCAGTACCAACATGCCATAGATGATGATGAGTCTATGGACTCTAAATCAGACTCGAGCTTTGCATCTTTAGACCTTACCCATGACTCGGACCTCAATATCTTCCTAAACATCATGATCACCCCTCCTTCGCCTCTTTCTCCTGTCTTATTTGCCTTTTCTGATTTTTCTGATTTTTCTGACTCTGACTCCTCCAATGATCATGATCATCTTACCGCCTATTACAATTGTGCTCAAGATGCCATTGCAACTCTGCAGGACGAGGTTGTGAAGGCCTGTGTACTTCGTAAGGTTAGCGAACCCATGCCACAAGCCTCACAACTTCCTCTTCTTGTTCATTTTGGTGAACATTGCCCTCACTTATTCTGCCACAAACTGCATGTCAATCCTGAAATTTTTGATGACATTCTCGATCGAATCTTTGACCACCCCATTTTTTGTAACAACTCAAACAACCCCCAACCTCCTGTCTCCATTCAACTTGCAATTTTTCTTAACCGTGCTGGCCACTATGGCAATTCCATCACCCTTGAGGATGCAGCTCAATGGGCAGGTGTCAGTGTTGGGTCAATTGTTAATTGCACTAATTGTGTAATTGTTGCCCTGCTTGATCAGCATGACACATTCATGGGCTTCCCTTCACATGACTCACAGGACTTTGAGCGTGCTTGGAGGTATACTGCACGGGCAACTACCTGCCCTGAGTGGCAGAATGGTATTCTAGCTGTTGATGGGACAACCATTGATTTATATGCAACACCTGGTTTTTATCACCAGGTTTTTTATGATAGGAAGTCAGAATATTCCCTTGGCTGTCAAGTAAGTTCACTTTATTTTATTTTCCAGTTAAAAATTAAAATAAATTCAAGGCAGCTATCATGCCCCACAATCTTCTGATTGTTGACTATTCTCTTGGTCACCCTGGGAGTGTGCATGATGCCTATGCCTTTAGGTCCACCCATCTCTATCATGAACATGATACACTTCTTCCAGCTGGTCACTGGATCTGGGCAGACAGTGCTTATCCACTGAACACCTGGTGTATTCCCCCTTTCAAGAAACCCCGCAATGGACAGCTGACAGCAAATCAGAGGACCTTCAATTTTTACCTTTCATCTGTATGTTTTTTAATCTCCATTTTTTCCTTATTTAAATTATATAGGTCTGTGTCTGCGTCAAGCATGCTTTTGCTGCATTGAAAGGGAGGTTTCAATCTCTCCAAGACCTTCAACAGAACATCAATTCAGCAGATGACCTTTGAGCTGCTGTCTATTGGATCCAGTGTTGTCTCATACTTCACAACATGATCATTCGGTTTGAAGAACATCGTGGTCTTAAAGAGGACAAGGGCTCAATGGATTGGGCCCGTGAAGAGGAAAATAATCTCATTGCTAGAGGGGAAGGTGAGGGGCCTGATGGCAATGAGCAGATTGGTGATAGATTGTATGAGGAAACTCCAGGTCATGCTTGTCGTGAAAGGTTGATGAATGAGCTTTTTGATAGCCCATACTCAAGGGCACAGCATAGGGAAGGATAGTAACCCTAGTTTCAAACATGTAGGATTGGGTCCATGTATTCAAAACACTCCATGAATGGATTCAAGAAACCAACAGTCCATATATTTAAGCACAAGGGAACATAGACAGCATAGGGGGACACAGACAATTGTACTAACATAGTGCACATGACAGAGAAAGACATGATAAGAACAATGGTACTAAGGCAGGGCAAATGACAGAGAAGTGATGAGCAGATAACAATGAAACTACAAGTACAGGTACCACACAGCATCCAAACCTTCAAGACCCTTGAGCATTAGTGAGATGGAGATATTCAATCTTGAGACAGAGGGCAGTCACCTCCTCAGCATGCACATGCGTTAACGCATCATGCATCCTCATCTCAGCTTCACACAGGCGGATCTCTGCATCCTTTGCCTCCTGCGCACGTTGATGGATGACAGCCGCTTCCGTGCGTTGGTAGCTGCGTTCCTCATGGAGGAATTGATGTTCTTCTGTCTGATGAGCGAGATTGTATTTGGCCATGTAGCGTTCATTCTTGAGTTCCTCTCAGGTGATTCAGTCCGATTGCGCACTCTCAATTCTGTCGTTCAGCGCCTCCATCTGGCTTTGAGCCTGACTTTGGAGGTCTGAGCACTGCTTCTTCACCTGCCGGCCTTTGCCCTTTGACAAGGATGGGATGGGCTCCGATGTTGGAGTTGTCGAGACAGGGGAAGACACAGCCTTGGACTGTGAGGAGCTCAATGAGCCACCAGAGTTGCGTCTAATGTGCCTGAAGTTAGTACATCTCCCCGAGACGGAGCCCCGAAGGACGCACAGCTATTGTACCGATAGGTTTGCATCTTCTCGGAAAGAGCAAATTCCGACCGAGGCAGGGGAGAAGGGGGTGATGCAGGAAGTGGTCGTTTGGTGGAAGCTTGGGGCCTAGGAGGACTGTCGAGGATGATGACATTGGAGCCATCACCCCAGCTGCGATCCATTGCGACATCATTGTATGTAGCACCAGCAGAATAGCCGGCACCTTCGTATGTAGCAGCGCGAGGGAGGGGAAGCATAAGGGGTGGCAATATGAGGGGGGGCAATGTGAGGGGGGGCAGCATGAGGGAGGGCAGCATGAGAGGGGGCAGCATGAGGGGGGGCAGCATGAGGGGGGGCAGCATGATGGGGGGCAGCACTGGCAGAATAGCCAGCACCTTCATATACAGCGCCGGCAGAATAGCCGGCGCCTTCATATGTAGTATGAGGGGGGGCAGTGTGAGGGGGGGCATGAGTGTCTGTGGTATGGCCCCCATACTGGGCGCTACCAGAATGCAGGCTTTGCAAGTAAGTGCTTCCTGCCGTGCGCGATATCTGGAAGTAGTTGGCAGCATGGTCAATTTCAGGGCGGGATGAAATTGTCTTGAGGGATAATGCTGGGTTTGCCCCTAGAATGGACACATAATGCAGTGACATATCTCCCTACTTATAGGACAGCCCATGTTGACAATGCTCCCTAAGACTCGGGCCAACCCACCATGGGCCCACATTACAATGTAAGTCTGACCTAAGGGATGGGCCCACATATGGGATTGTACCCCAGTATAGCGGGTGGGCCAGAGGCTAAAAATAACTGAGGCTCAAGGGTGGGCCTACTGTATATACATTATGGAATACAAAAATATATAGGATATTGGTATTATGATGCATAGGCTATGTCTGGTAGGTGCTACTCGATGGTGAGGGGTGGGCCCATATACACTCGCCGACAGTTTTGCATATTTCGGGATCACCGCAGGGGGGGCAGCTGTGGCACTGCCAAACATAATGCTGCAGGGTGATTGTCACCGGGGGTGATTGCCCCATGCTTCCATAGAATACCTCACTATGCATGCATGCCGGTGACATAGTATAAGGCCTGTGGCACTGCTAAACATATTACCGCAGGGTATGGATTGTCACCGGCGGCAGCTGACCCATGCATGAACATCCAGCGAGGAATCACCTGGTGAGGTATGTTGAGGAAATGGTGTTAAACAGCTGCTACTCTGCTTTGGCTTCTGCAGACACTTTCGTTGTTGAATACCGGCTCTGCAAATATACAAATATAGTTGCCGGCGACACCGTGCACTAATTGCGGCGGTGCTTGCGCCGTGACCTTTTCTGCGTCGAACACTGGCTCGGCAAACCTGCAGCACATGCATTTACTGTTCACCGGCGGCGGATGATGCAGAGTTAGCAGCGACACCATGTGCACTCATTGCGGCGGTGCTTGCGCCGAGACCTCTTCTTTGAACACCGGCTCGGCAAACCTGAGGTGCAGGTGTCTACAGGATGACCCATTAGTCGCCTCCCGGCAACACCATGTGCATTCATTTCGGCGGTGCCTGCACTGACCGGCTCTGGACATATAGTCAGCCTGGTGTACAGATTTAAATACAACAGCTATTACTATTGAGCATTGGTGACTAGTGACCAGTACTTAGAGTAGTCCGCTTGTGGGATATCCATAAACTCGTGAACATCATCCCTCATGTACCAGACCCAGGCTGTTCGGTTGCCGTCTGCCATATCCAATCCATGTCTAATAATTCGTCCTGATCCGGCGACCATTAAACCTGCCGGGTAGACACTTTCAATGCCTAGATTTGGCATCTTCATCCTTGCTACTCCATAATTGCCGAAGGTGGTCATGACGTCAAACCATTGGGGACGTGACAGCGGATCACGATGCATCAGCGAACGCCGGTTGCACACGATAGCGAGTGCAGTGAATACGGATGCCCACTCTCTGAGATGATCTCCCATTTCGTCCAATTTCTTGTCAGCTGCCCAGAGACCCAAGGCTAGCTTTGTTGCCAATGATGACCAATAGAGGTTAGGGTGCATGACTCTCAATGCAGCGGTGATGAGCGCTGCCAGTCTCTGCATTGCCTGACAGAAAGACCGTCCCAACACTTTAAGAGTCGCTGAGACATGCGGATGAAATTTGGGTGCCTATGAGAGTGAGAATGGATGCCGCTAATTATGAGGTGTGACACACCGGGTGACCTTACAAAAACCATGCTGGGGACAGATTGATACACCCCGGAGTACCGCCACATTGACTTGGATAAAAGTTTGAAGAATGGGTCCTCCATTTATCGTTTGTGGCGGCGCTGCTCGTCACACTTCTAGCCAGTGGAACTGACATTATTGCAGTAGCTGCCGCCATGTCATTCTAACACAGTCAATATAAGGACTTGGCAATTAGGACAACTTACCTGTATGGCCAGATCAATTGCGCCGGGAAGATACCAGAGGACGATGATACCGAACTTGTCACACACAACTGTCAGCCAATCAAGATGGATCTGGCTGTCAGGTGGATACCAGGAAAGAAGGCTGTCTTCGCGAGCAGGGTTGATGCCTTTTTCCATCATTTGCAGAACATCTGCATACCTGGCTACATCTAAGTTGATAGTAACTAACATTGATGGGATTAGGGATCATATGAGGCACCACCAAAAGAGTCATACCAGGGTTCCGATAGGCATCGGTGAGGGTACGAGCCAGTTTTGAACATGCCATGAGCATGACAAGATCTAGTTCGAGTGGGGGAATGGCATTGGACAGTCCGCCGATCAGTGCAAGGAACTGGCGAGAGACATATTCACTAGCAATATGGGTTATGGCCAAGGCCCAGTCAGGAGGAATATGAATCATGGCTTGCATATAACATATTAGGCATTGTACTTATATATGTCTGGCGGCAAACTGGTTACATAAGTCTGGCAGCAAACCGGTTACATAAAATACACGAAGAGTGACTGCCATATCGACTAACAACATTCAGAACATGAGGATCGACATAAGGAGGCACGCGTACTACACATTGTCTTGACCTAACTACCCATATATAATGAAATCGGTGAAATGTGAAAGGGACCAGTGGTCATCCTGTAGACACATGCGCCGCAGGTTTGCCGAGCCGGTGTTCGGCACAGAAAAGGTCACGGTGCAAGCACCGCCGCAATTAGTGCACATGGTGTCGCCGGTAACCCTGCATCATCTGCTGCTGGTGAACATCTACCTTGCAGACTACAGTTGAGGCCAACTGTATATTTGAAGAGCCGGTATTCAAAAAGAAAAGGTGTCTGCAGAAGTCAAAGCAGAGTAGCAGCTGTGTAATCAAACATGGTATTGTACAATCAAAGGGAGGCGTAAATTACAAGTATTCAGGTATCTACATGTCTTCGCCGGACTCAGCCTCTACCTGGTCAACTTCATGAGCCTCTGTCCGGTCAACTTCATGTAACAAGGATTCCACCGCGGGAAGAACCCATTCATGCACCTGTGCAAGGTGATGCAGGCTAATTAGATCTTTGAAGATCCTAGTGAGCTGGTCTCTGCTTTCACAGAAGGCCATGAGCATCACCCTATTGCTCTCCAAGACTTCATCAGGCTTGGGATCCCGGACATCATCCCCCGGACCCAAGGCGCCGCCAACCATCATCTGTGCCAGATGATCAACTAACTGACATGTTAGCATGCGCCGTGCTGTCTCAAGTATTAAAATACTTACATTCTTCTCCTCCAAGGCGGTTCAGAATATCAATTGCCGCACATTCGGCATCACTGACCAAATATTTCAGTGTGGGCCGTTCCAGATGCCCACAGGTGATGTTACGAACTAGGGTAGTTCTAACAACGACAACTCGACAGAGTTTGTGGTCGTTGAGATTCTCAGTCTCTCAGACAAGAGAGAGTTCTGTGGACTTAGTCAAAGGAGTGCTTTGACTAAGAATCGGGTTTCAAGACGACTTAAGATTGGAGGTCTTAAGTGAAGGAAGTTCCAGGTAAAACCTAGTAAGATTCAAGTGAAGAATACAAGTGTAATACATGTGCTTAAATAGATCCATATGTGCGCACAGAACAAGTCATCGTGAGATAGTAAGTACAGTTCCAAGAAAGGAAGGCATATCATATGAGTAAAAGAAGAATGAGATAACAGTTGTAACATTACCCCCTTACTAAGCGTGAAGTCACCGACTTTACATATCTTGGTTTTCCCAATAGATAGGATCGTCGGAATAGTCAAGCTGATCGTCTCCTCCTCCAGTAAGGTACTCCGCCTGTTAGAGGGCTTCTTCTTCCTGGCACTGGCGAACGTATGCTTCATCTAAACTTTTCTCCGAATGAGAAAGTTCTTGGTAGAATCCTTCATCCTTCCAAGTGAGCGTAGTGGGGGAACATCCGGTGAATTGGTGGCAATATAAGGAGAGATGTCTGGGAGAGAGCTCCCTGCATATTCTGCAATAATAGTCGGGGCAGTTTGTTTGGCGATGGCCAAGGGTTTTACAGTATCTGCAAACACGATTTTCGTCTGGGTTTGAGGATGAAGGTCACATTACGGGGGGAGCGGGACGGTGACTGAATGCTTCATCATTGCTAGAGGCTCTTTTCTTTCCCTTGCCTCGGTATCCGCGTCTAGGGGATCTTCTTTTCCTGCCAGAAGATTCTTTGATCTGGGCTA